TCTCCCCACAGCCGGGATCGTGCAGGGCCAGGGCCGCACGGGAACGCTTGGGTTCTTCCCTCCCCTGCAGCGGGCCATCCCAGGTCAGGGACACCTACATCAAGGCTGCCCACGCATGAGACAGCTGGGAAGCATGACAGGATGATGTCACTGCCCGAGGCCAAGGGACAACATTGTGAGGACAGCTACACATCTGCAGCGTCCCTCTCACCTGTGCCTGTGCCCCGCCCAGGGCCATCACAGGTCACAGCAGCCCCGGGGCCCGAGAGAGCAGCCGCCCATGGTCTGTGCTCAAGTCGGGCAGCAGGCATCTCCACAGAGTGCACCGCCGCCACCAGCTGGGTAAGCACAGCGTGGGCCTGTGAACCGAGAGACGCCCCAAGTGACAGAGGACATGGCTCATGCAACAGTGGAATGGGGGGGGCACTGCCACATGCAGGTAGGGGACACCTGGACCTGAGGGACCGGACAGGACAGGGTGACAAAGCACAGCCTACTACCTACCAGGAGACACTTTCTAGCAATGGAAAAATGGAAACAAGCTCAGGGCAGCGCAAAGAAGGAAAGTGGAAGAGCACAGGGACACCCTCTTCCTCTCACCTCTTCTCCTTTCTGGATTCTCCGATTGGAGCTGATGATAATCTTGTGTCCTCTCTCGAAAGTCACCACTTCGGCTACACAGTTAGGTGCGCAAGAATGGTTGATGTACCTGGAGCCGCCACGCGAACAGAGTTACTGTGGAACAACTGAAGGGCCACCTGGGCTTCCTGTCTCTGGGAGACACTCGCTGCCTTTCTAGTCCCCGTAAGGAGACAAGCTTCCCTATCAGCTCCCGGAAAGCGGGGAGCAGACCCACCTGCTCTCCCTCCCAGCAGCAGCGGAGGCCTTCCCCCTGCCCCGCGCCCCCAGCACCACCTGCTCCCAGGGGCTGGCCTCACCTTGCAGGCCCTCCCGTGAGTGTCGCGTCGATGACGTGGTCATTGTCCATGCGGAACATGTACACGCCTCGGTTCTAGAGAGAGCGGCAACTGTGAGCCTGTGCAGGGTGCCCTGCGTCCCCACCCGTAGCAGGAGCCCCAGGGCTCCCGATCACACCCCCTGGGGACAGTGCGTCCGCTTTCTCCTGGGCAGGCCTCTGCCCAGCAGGTTGGGAGCCAACAAGCACACCTATCTATGCAACCCCTGGAGAAAGCAAAGTGCAGGAAGGGGACCAGGAGGCCATGAAGGCCATCCGGCCACAGCTCTGCCGGGCCCGGGCAGCCAGTGCACAGCCCCGGCACAGCCCACCTGGGACTCATACAGCTTCTCCTTCCTGTTGGCAACCTCATTCCGAATGATGGTGCCGATGTACTCGATGACCATGGTGTGCTTCTCAATGTCTCGGGCAGCGTACAGGCCCAGGCCCTGGAGGGGAGCGAAGTGTACAACATTAGCCTTGGCAGCTAAAGCCGAGCCTGAGGCGCCAGCCGAGCCTGAGGCGCCAGCCGAACTCAAACGACACTTTTTATGGAATACATTATTTCTGAAATTTAAAAATTTGTCAGTCTTGCCATTATGTGTTCCTAGGTCTTCTATACTGACCTCTGAGGCATACAGCTCAGAACGTGTTTCTCCAGGTCCAAGTGCCATCAGAGAGCTGAGCCCAGCGCCAGCCAGTGTGCAACTTTGCGCCCCGAGATCTCAGCCCCGCCCTGTGCCTCCCTTCCCCAGTGCAGTATTCACCTGGATCCGAGACCGGGCCAGATACACGTTGGACTTCCATTCTGTCTTCATTCTGCGGTACTGCGACGACTTGGAGTGAACGAACTGCTTACTGTAGGGGGCGTTCAGCTCTCCCGTGACTGTGCTCTGAAATGACTTGGAGGTGCTGGTGCTGTTCAAGGTGTGCGGCCTGCAGGTGACGGCATAGTGACAGGAAACAAAAGGAGAGCTGAAGGTCCTTCTGAGAGTGCTCAAGGCAGGCCATTCTGAGCCTTCCTGGCAGAGACACACAGAAAGCTGCCTGGCAGAGACACACATGCGCCCTCGCGGTGGCTGGGCTCGTACGCAGCTGGGAGCAGCAGGGTTTGTAAGCGGCAGACAAGCACAAAAGCCACCAACGGGCCTAGAAACCCTGAGCTGTACTATGTGAAGTTAAAACAAAATACCTTAACACAAACCTCTTGACATGGGCACTCATTTTAGGTTCAGAACGAGCACAACCTGTGGGGTTGACAGCAAGCGGCAGCTCCATGAGAGGATTCCGACCGTACCGAAAGGTGTAGCTCTCGCACGCCTCAACCCCGGGGAGCTGGAAAGCAGAAAATACACGCGGTAGCTGAGCGCAGGCCTCTGGAGCGGAAGACGGTGATCTGCACTCAGCACCCAGCTGCCGCCCCGCACCAGAACATGGAGTCTTCAGGCCACCTGACCCAGGCTGCCTGCGCCCTGGGCTGCGCGTGTGTGAGCAGCCGGGCTCCGGCAAGCCCTCGCAGATAAACGCCCGCCGCAGAAGCAACACCACGCACGAACGCTCCCTGGCCCTGCCAGACACGTGGAAGGCAACCGCTAGGGTCGAGGGTTTCCACTGGATAATGCCTACTTCTCCCCCGCCCCCCCCCTTTTTTGGCGGAACCAGGGATTGAACTCAGGCTCTTGCACTTGCCAGGGAAGCGCTTACTACTGAGCCGTCTCCCCGGCCCTAATGCCTACTTCTGTATCTGTGCCCGAAACTTCAAAAGTACGAGCAGTTAGCCATTTTCATGGCTTCTGACTGGACCATTTCTTGCCTCTTCCAAATGTGGCCACTATCCAGCCATGTCGCAGGCATGTAGATGTACAGTGACAAGCATGTCAGGGGCCTTTTCTAAAATGTGTTTCTCGTGACATCTACTTCCCCATGATCACAGAAGATGCTCAGCGCTCAGGCAGCGCTGCCCAGCCCACAGGAAGCGACCAGCCTCTCCAGCCTCCTCTCGGTGGCTTCAGGGCTTCCTCTGCTGCGCTACGACACGTCCACTCTCCAGAGCAGGCTCTCACGGTCCCGCGGCTGTCAGCAGCTCTGCGGGCCTGTGGCTCAGCTGCTGGCCGCACGCACGCCGAGGCACAGAGGCCGGGAACAGGTGCGGCTGCAGTCCACTGCCTTTTGTGGGTCAACTCATGCCGGCAGGAGGCTGGAGAGGTCACCAACGCCACCTCAGGACAAGGTGGCTCGCCCTCGCAAGCTCCCAGGGCCTTGGGAAGTGGCCAGAGACTCAGGTCAGCCCAGCAAAGCCACCAGAGTTGCAGCGCCAGGTGAAGAGGTCACAGGGGATTAGGGACAACTACAATGTGTGGTCCTGACCACGACACTCACTGATTCGGCTATCCGTGCCACTGCAGAGACGGTGAGGCCGAAGAGGTCTTCGCCTTTCAGGTAGGCGGGGAAGAGCTGGAGCATCTCCGACTTCTTCCTCACACACGCCACAGGCCCCAAGACCTTCTCCCACACACCTGCGTGTGGACACGAAGGGAGCTCGGCTAAGCCACTTGCTGTAGGCCACGGAATAGGAGACACCACAGAACCAAGGACCAGAATACCCGCTCTGCAAGACTTACTTGTTTACTAAATGGCAGCCATTTATTTTTAAAACCTTATTCAGTTTGGGGCAAAATAATCTCACGTTAAGGGCATCAACAGTAAAAGTGAAAAAGTTAGGTTAAGACCACTGAAATTCATATAAATAATTTAGCGTGCTTTCCCACCAGCCAAGAGACCTACTGGCTTTCAAATGACTATGCACCAATAAGGTCTAAGACATTCCTTGCCCCTCAGCACTCCATTCAAATGGGAAACTTTTTCTTTGGAAATATCGTTAGAGAACTTTTTAAAAACTTTTATTTTTTTGGTTTTTTTAAAGACGGGGTCTCCCTGTGTGGTTCAGGCTGGCCTTGCACTGACCGTGCAAACCTATGGAGCCTTGAACTCATAGCGATCCTCCTGTCTCAGCCTCCCAAAAGCTGAGATTACAGGCATGCATCACCATATATGCATTAAAAAAAGTTTAGAAAGCAGCTTTTCCATATATTCTGCATCAGTGAAAATGACAGTGTGGACTTACCCTGGAATCAGAATTGAAATTTTAATTCCCAGCTTTACACTGGTATAGTATCTTACACTCCTGGGAGGAGACAACTCACTATGTTTCACTGAGTGACTGTTCCTTCTACAAACTGAGCGAAGAGGACCCCCAGGTAAATGAGAGGCACCTATAAATCACTGTGACTTTCAAAGATCAACTCTTATGTTCAAACACAGATGGACTGGAAAGCTGTACAGTGGCCAGTTTGGGATCCACACCTGTAACCCCAGCTGCTTGGGAGGCTAAGGTAGCAGAATTTAAAGTTCAAGGCAGCCTGGGCAATGTGGTGAGACCCGGCCATGAAATAAGACTTTAAACAGAGCTAAAGACTTGCACACGTAGCTCAGGGGTAAGCCATTTGCCTGCCTCCATGTGGGAGGCCCTGAGTTCAATGCCTAGCACCTTAAAACACAATACACACACTAGCACACACTCAAAACTGTATAGTGAAGAGCAAGGTTTAACACAAAAAAGCTAAGATTTATATTTATAAATAAAAATCCCTACCTGCTGTTATAAAATATGAAATGCATGGGCCAAAAAAAGAAAAAGAAACGACTTAAAATGCCCTTCAGCACTCCTAAGTGTAGGCCTCACCTTTGGGCGATGTGTCACTTAACACCAGGTCTTCGTGGCCTTGCTCCACGACCCTGATGACGAACACCGGGCGGCTGTCCCTCTCCTCAATGGAGCACAGGTAGCGGCAGCGCCTGTTGGCATAGCGCATGCTCCAGTACAGCCGGCTGGCCTCGTAGCCCACAGGGAAGAGCGCCCTGGCCGAGTGGAAGGCGTGCATCTGCTGCGGGAGCAGCTGGCCGAGCGTGTGGAAGATGAGGCTGCCGACGCGGAAGGTGTGCTCCCGCTCGCCGCGCTGCACGATGCTGGCGATCTGGCGCACCTCGTCTCGCTGAACGTAGACCCTCCTGAAGACTGCAAAGTAACTTAATTCCTGCTCGTGGATTCCCTTTGGTTTGTGCATGGGGCAAAGCATAGTTTTGTCCTTAAAAAACATGCATTGTGCTTTAATGGCGCAAGTGAAGTGATAAATGTTGGTGCACCGAAATCTGTGACACCCGCTGGTGGCACCCGTCTTATGACAGAAGACACATTTCATCTGCAGGCCCCTCCTCAGCGCTAGCTCTACGTTTATTAAGGCACCAGCCTGAGTCTCGTAGACCTCTGTGGACCACAGAGCACAGTTCAAGTGCACCCACAGATCCAAGTCCAGGTTGAGCAGCCTTGCTGGTCCGTCTGTGAGCCCATCTCCTTCTTCATGGCAAAAGCAACACTTGCGGTAGTCTTTGGGCACAGGGTCAGGCCTAAGAGAAGTGCCCAACTTCTTGAGAAATTCATCTATTTCCTCCTCACAGGGTGGCTTAAACGTCCCCTTGGGGATCACAATATGAATGCTCCACTTCTTCCACTTCATTCCTCTCCACTTTTTGTTCAGTGGCCTACAATCGTCAAAGCTGCCATGGGCAGTCCTGAGCCGAGGCTTTAGCTTGACAGTCACCTTGAGCTCATCAGGCTTGGCCTCAACTTGAGCTGCCTCAAAGGCAGGAGGAAAGGCAATGGGAGGCGACGGAGGCGGAGAGGCCTTGTCCTGGAGCTGGGGGAGGCAGTGCACATCCAGGGTGGAGATGTTGTTGCTGTACTGGTGAAATGCCCTGGAAGGCATCTCTCTCACAGGCGACTGTGGCAATGGAGGAACAGGTTCCTGAGCAGCAAGAAGAATGGAAAAGGAGAACAATTTACATACCCTAAAAGCAATCTTGCCACACCAAAACCCAAGCAGTATGGTCTAACAGGGTATGGGACTTGTGGGGTCAGGGAAGAGTCAAAACTAAGTGAGCACCACATGTGGGGGTATACCCAGCTATCCAGGAGGCTGAGGCAGGAGGATCACACGTCTGAGGCCAGCGTGAGCAACATGGAAAGACTCCATCTCAAAACCAAATATAGAGCTGAGGATGTTGTTCAATGGCAAGAGTACTTGCATGAATCCCTGGGTGCAGTCCCAGTACAGTTGGGAAGGACAGAAGGATGAAGAAAGGTGGGGCGAAGGGAAGAAGAGCAAGAGGAGAAAAGGTGGCAGAGTGCAGGCACAGAGAAAGTTGTTCCTGAATATTTTGGCAGCTAAGTGTGGACAGAGCAACTAGGCTGTCCTATGGACATACCAAAACACTGCTTGCTCTATTTTATGTTTTGGTACTGGGAATTCAACTCAGGACCTTGCACCTGCCAGGCAGGTGCTGTGTCCCTGTCTCTCCCTTCTTAACTTTAAGCCAGGAAAACCAACGCCATCTAAAGACTTTGCTCACTTAACGTGCATGGTAGAATAGTGTTTCCTACCATCTTCACATCCTAACATTCCTGTCTGTTCACCTCAGGCTCGAGCACCCTCACAAAGAGAGTAAGCAAAAAGGGGCTGCCTGTGTGAGCAGATGCCAGCTGCTTGCCCTGGCCCTGCTCCCTCATGCGTGGAGAAGGCCTCCTCGTTGACCCCAGAATCACCACTCCCTCACAGCCACCCTACACGTTCCCAAGAAGCCAGTGGTGGGCAGCATTACACACATCCTGAGAACCCACTTGGTGAAAAGCCACTCTATCTAGGCTGCTTTATTTTAGAGTCTAAATTTATCTGCCTAATGGCTTGGATTTTATTTTTGTGGGAGACTCCTGCCTCTTAAAATTTAAGTGTCTCCAGACTGTTTCTCTGAGAAAGATACATTAAAGAAATTATCTTGAAGGAAGAATGACAGGCATAGATCACTCAACAGGAAAAAATTTCTTTTAAAACAATTTAAAATGTCTCGTGTGAACCAGGCATGGTGACCCTCGCTGGCAAACCCAGCACTTGGGAGGCTGAGGCAGGGGAAACATCTCAAGTTTGAGGGCAGCCTGGACTACACAGTGAGACTGTCTCAAAAAAAAAACAAAGAAAAAAGCAGCCTCATCCGCATCAGCTACATATTTTGATATACTTGAACAATAATAAAATCAAAGCAGGTTGGAGTAAGCAAAATTCTTTTTCTCCAATTGCATGAACAGACTGAAATTCTATTTCCGAACAGGTTTTCCTATTCAAGTAAGATCAATAAAAGCCATTTTGTTAATGAAAATATTTATAATTAGTCAAGATGAAGATCGAAGTACTGGTATTTCATTTCACCCTAACCTTTTAAAATACAGTCTGCCTCTGACGGCCCGCTGTGGTGAGACACCCCCGAGTCTGGAGCAGCAGCGCGGCACGGCCACTGCTCATCTCTCTCTCTACACGACCGCCTGGCTTAGGTGCTCCCACGCGAGCGTACCGAGACAGGCCACACATCTGTTCTATTCACTAACGTGTCCCCAGACACAGAAATCCCTCGTTCTATGCCGCTGAGCTGAGAAGTCCTGGTTTTACCTTGCTTTCTGGGTTTTTCACTTGTGCAGTTGAATAAAGAATGAAGCAGTTATTACTGCAAAAGACAGTGTCCTTCTCCATTCTCTTGGTGTTTTCTCGGGAATCCTGAAAAACAAAGAGGAGTGCGGAATCCCAAGTCACAGCGCGATGCGATCAGCTACACACTGGATGTTCACATTATGTCCAAATGAGAAGCGTCCTGTCTCACGGCATCTATATCCCCAGAAATCTCACGGTGCACAGAACATATTGTCCACTCCTCACTGCCCGACAGGGTGACAGCCCTTATCACAAGCGAGGGACAGTGTGCTGTTGCAGGCTGTGCTCAAGTCCAGCCACCTGTAACTTGACTGACTCCAACTACATCATGAAGAAGCCCTCTCCCCCTGCAGACACAGCCTCTGCACATGGGGTTGGTTAGAGAACAGCAAAGCATACCTTGTTCAGAAGAGCCAGATCTTTTAAAGATTTCCGAACGCCGCTTCCAAAAATAACCACTTTGCAGTGACAGCACCACTGTGGTCTGAGAGCCATTTTTCCTGCAGCACCATGACTGGAATCCTTGTATCCAGAGAGGCCTACAGGCAACCAACCGGTTAGCAATGACACAGGTGGCGCTAATGGGACATTAGGTGGCAGTGTTCTAGCACGTGGTTCATTAATTTATATGATTCGTTAATTAATTAAGGTCTTTAAGTAATGGCTATAAGGATCTATTATGAAATAACGGGGACTAAAAGAAACATTTCTATTGTTACACTTGTGGGAAAATAGTGCTAGTAAGAAAGAAACTTACAAGGCCAAGTCACCAACGCACATTAACTGTGAGCCCAAGAGCCCGGGAGCCCAGGGGAGAGACAGGGCCTGCTCCAGGACTCAGATAACAGATGGAAGATTAGGGGAACTTAGAACACCAAAGAGAAACAAGGAAAGACCTCGGCCCAAGGTCAATAATGTAAATAGGGGCTGGTGAGATGGCTCAGTGGTCTAAAGTACCTACTTAGAACAAGCTCAGCAAAGCACAGGGACCGCGGTTCAATCCCCCAGCACCACATGCCAGCCAGCCCCGCCCCCTAGTGGGCTGAGCTGGCCACACACACACATACACACACACACACACACACACTAAATAAATAAATAAAGTAAATAAAAATGACACAGGATAGAAAGCACAGCACCTCCTCAGAAAGCATCACTCACAGAGGGACAGCGGGAAGGGGACAGGAGAACATCAGCAACAGGAGCTAGAGGCCAAGACTTCAAAGAATGCACAGGTGAAAACAGATAAGCTGCTGGATTCTAGAGGAATAAAGAAGACGCAGGATGGAGGAAACTGGTGACTAGGGAGATGGAAGAGGGCCTGGTTGGAGGGCTCAGGGTGAGACACCAGAGAAATGCAGCCCTGAAGCTGAGGAAGACACGGTGAGCCTCAGCGCTCGGGGGCATGAGAACCCCAGGGGAGAAGAGGCTGTGGGGTGCCGGTGCAGGGCACAGAGGGGGCGAGCAACACACGCAGGCAGCTGCCTCTTCTGCTCTAGGTGAGCAAGCACACGGAGGCCAGGCTTCTGACAGAGCTGCTTACGGGTAGCAAGGCAGGCAGGGCGCTGCCTTCCAGCAGCGTGACAGGGCTTCCCCAAGTATGGAAGGTCACATCAGTGCCACAGAAAACAGCACCCAGCAGAGCCCGGGCTACCAAAGGACACGCACCAACACACTGCTCACTACTTGTTAAAATTGAAATTGCAATTTTAAAAAGAATAAGCTTAACCTTTGAATCAAGAACGGATTTGGGGTTAACAAAAAGCTGCTAGCTCACCACTGCTTGCCGGAGGAAATGGAACACTAGGCTGCTTCAGCCGGTAAGAGCCTGCTAGCCTGGGAGGGTGTGCAGATCCTGGTGGAGGCCCACGAAGATGTAAGTGCGGTCGGTACTCCAAAGCTGGGTTTATTCTGTGGCTGTTGGCCAAAGCCACGGACGGAACATCTGGAGCATTACTAACCTCATAGCTGTTAGGCGTTCGGACATGAAGCAGGTCGGAAAATGCAGCCACAACACTACTAATGTTCTAAAACAAAACAAACCCTCTGTTATACACCCAGGAGGCAGAGTCAGCCAAGGAGGAGAAAAAACACAGGCGGGATCAACGCTGCCTGCACAGCACACAGTGTGAGAAAACCCAACAACTTTATTTAGCCTGTGGGACTCAGGAAACTTCTGCTTTCATGGGCAAATGCACACATACAGCCCTCGTAATAGAGATCTGCTGAGAGTGCCCTCAACATGTACTGGAGGAACATGCAGTTGGTTCAGATGTCTAGCAGCAGGCAGGGGTGAGCAGCCACGTGGGCTGAGCCAACGCTGTTGGTTTTCCCAGCCACAGCTCTTACTCCACAGGCCAAAGGTTTGAAACAACGAGCAAGAATGCACAAATGTCACATGACTACTGTCTTCTGTGCAGTCAGAATGTCACGTCACTATACCATGAGTCCATCTCTAACATTTCTACAGACTTCAAAGTTAAAAAAAGAAAAATCCCCCCAAATTAGTAGTGTTTTTGACGTTAGCCTCTACTGCCTGAAGAACACTTCCGGTGCTTCTGTAAATTTTTGTTTCTTTTCTTTTTGAGACAGAGTTTTACTATGTAATTCAGCCTTGAACTCACTATGTAGCCTAGGTTGACCTCAAATGCACAGTGATCCTCCTGCCTCCACTTCCCCAGTGCTGGAGTTACAGGCATGCGCCACCACGCCAGCTATGCTTCTATAATTTTTATTATAGATGTTTATTCTCAGTAGTTAATTTTCTACAGGGTTGCCAGTTATAAAGAGTCTTTTCTCTAAAGAGTTCTCCCAATTACAAAAGCTTACAAATAGGAGAAGAGGGGTTGAAGGGAAAGTAGGGGAATGGGGGGGAAAGAATCTATCATGCAAGTACAAATTCCCTATCATGAATGTGATCCTTATGTAGACTTAAAATGTACAAATAAATTTAATTAATTAAAGAGTTCTCTAGAACTAGTATATACCCATTAATAAGAACGTGTGAGTGCTAACTTCCCTTTCTGTCTTGACTCAGGCCAAAATGAATGTCAAGCATGATGACAGTATTCACAAGCAGCCTCCACATGCAAAGTGCCTACCCAGCCAACCCGAAGCACGGCAGTCTGTGCTTCGTTGTCAGCCACTGATCTCTCTTTAGTGACATGACACACTCCATAGCATTAAGAAGCCATTTCCTCCTTTACCTCAGCAGCGGTGGGATGCAGGGTAATTGCTACAGATATAAGACCCGATCTGGGACCATTTGGGGATGAACCGAAAGGTGACGTGAAAAATAAGGTGCTTGGCTCGGTTTTGATGTCATTCCTTCTTGATTCTGAACCTCAAATAAGGAAAGAAAGAAAGAAAGAAAGGTGTGTTGATGGCTTTTCAAGGTCAAAAATACTTGCTTTAGTACATCGGTAGACTGGGATGACTACAGCAGGGCCAAGTATTCTTACCCTTCCCAGTGGTGCTCGGAAGAATGGGGATGACAGGCGATGGCACTGGCTCCGGAGGCTCCTCTTTGACCACTGACAGATCTGGATACCTGCTCACTTCCACCCCAACCACACTCTCAGGAGAAGACGAGGGGACAAAGCTGTCAGGGGTGTCCCGGTCACCACACTGATCCTGTACCCTACAAGAGGAGCACAGGCATCATAGCACGCAAACCCCCTTTAGGGGCTCTGTGCACCAACCATGAGTCCCACATCATCAGTGGACTTAGCAAATGGACCAGCTACAGACACCAATAAACAAAAATCTCCTGGAGGAAATACCGTAACCAGGTTTATCTACAATATAAATGGATATGCTTAGGATCAAAGTTTTAGCATCAATGTTTAAAAACCTAGTAAAAAAGCTGTTCAGTTCATAACAGAACCTAGAAAGGATGTTCACATCTCCCCAAGTCCCAGGCTGCCGAGACTGAAGTAAGCCGGCCTCCTGCTGCTTGGACAAGGCGGCCCTGGCCCTAGGCATCCACGCAGGACCACACCTGCATGCAACTGGCCGCGAGACAGCGACGCTGCTACTGCTGCTGCTGCTGCTGCTGCTGCTGCTGCTGCTGCTGCTGCTGCTGCTTAGAGTGGATGGAGAAATGGAGGAAACCCTGGTTACTGTGGCTTCCTCGACGCTTGATTTTCTGAGCTGGTTGTCAACAGTGAGAAGGAATGGTCCCTTCTATCTAGTCCGAGACTCAGGTTTAGCAGAGCAATGCTGAGGTCTCAGGTTAAAAGGTGCAGATCTTCTCAAGCTGCCCATGCTGATGACACCAGAAAGAGTGGCCTGTGAAGTCCAGGGGACAGGCACCTGGGCTGGATCACCAGCACACAATGGACAGCTGCCGTCCACAGCTACCACAAAGAGCAGCGTGCTCTCTACTGGGGCAATAGGGATTCTTGGCAGTGAGCAGAAGAGAAAGGAGGCTGCAATTCCAAACCTGGAGTAGCTGCTTTTCAATTTGGTCCATAATTTGCTTGTTGATAAAATATGGGACTTGTTAAATGGATATCTCATCAGGAAGTACAGCAGATTTTCCAAGGAGGGACTTTAAACAAACTGGCTACAAGGTATCTGCCCCAGAGTACCTTTCTTCCACAGCAGCATTCTGGTAACTGTGACTACTGTACTTTCTTTCTAGAGCACTATGAACATCAGTACATCCAATAAATCATGCTAAAGCTCGTGAAGGACAACGATCTTTAAAATATTTTGCAAGGAGATTTTCTATTGTCTTAATTTCTATTCTAATATCTTTTTTTTTAATTTTTTATTTATTTATTTATGTGTGTGTGTGTGTGTGTGTGTGTGTGTGTGTGTGGCCAGCTCAGCCCACCAGGGGGCGGGGCTGGCTGGCATGTGGTGCTGGGGGATTGAACCGCGGTCCCTGTGCTTTGCTAAGCTTGTTCTAAGTAGGTACTTTAGACCACTGAGCCATCTCACCAGCCCCTCTAATATCTTTTAAAGATAAAAATTAATTATAGTTAATAGTAACAAGGTTATAAAATTTATATTGAGAATATTACAAAATTTTACCTCTCAAGTGTTTTTACACACTACTCCTACACACATTATGCTGAATACATTTAAAAATTACTAGAAACCGTTTGAGAAAAAAAGTAGCTTCTACCTTAAGTCTTCCTGGTTGTTGTGAGGCGGTGTTGGAAGTGATGCTGGGACGTCCACCGTCTTTGGGCCCTGAGCAATAGATCTGGCCAGCAAGTCGTCCTGCGGCCTGAACGGCAGTGGAAATGGCTTTGGGCCTAAAGTCTTGGTAACTGAAAAGCAAACACACAGAACTGGAAGTATGTTCGGCCAAAGCCAGTAAGCAGGTAGAACTCTGCAGAACTCTGCAGCTCTGAGCCACTCCACCGCACCCGCTCTGGCAGAGGGACCTTTCACCCAAGTGTCACACGTGGAGGCTATGATCATACCTTCATGGCTCACCAGCACTCCGGCTTTTCCGGCAAGTTCTTCAGCTGTTGCAAAACCATTTGCCATCTTCTGACAAGCCATAGGAGGTGGTGTAGGAGGAAGAGAGGCAGGGGGTGTTGGAGGATTACTTAAATTATTCTGCTGCAGGAGACCAAAAAATTTTAAATTATATGCTACTGAGCAAATATGCAATGACCTTGTAAAACCTAGTTCTGAGATTTTTTTTTTTAGCACATGGAAGCAAGGCTACAGAAACATAATCAAGATGCATCTTCATTCTCAAACGTACACCAAAAAGGAAAATACGCATACAAGGCCAGGAAGTTTTTAGAACAACTACTCATGACTCTGTTAATATATTATTATCCATTTCTTTAACTGACACCTATCTTGAGTACTTAGCTTTCAAATGAAAATCAAATATTCTGTTATACAGCTCTTTTCAAGTTTTGTGGTTATAGCCAGTGAAAAATAGACTTAAAATGCAATCAACTTGGTAGAAGTTCTCAAAAATTCCTACATTCAATTTTCAGAGAGCCTTCATTCTATATAAAATAATTTATAGACTTAAACCCATAATTGCAATTCATGTCTCAGATATCAGAATCTGGATTAAGATATCTAAAAGAAGAAGAGCATCAATAATACAGAAAGGATTAAATAAATGTATTAACAAATTCAGTTTCTTTGCAAGCATCTCTCCTAGATTAAGATTTGTCATCAATGGATTTTGTCTCTCAAGGGATGCTGCAATCTACTACTACCATACAAATCAAATGCAAGGTGAGACTACAAGTCGTGCAGAGACAGAGGGGCTTTCTAAGGACGATGACCTGAAGCTAGAGCACAGCTTGCACTGAGATGTGTTCTAACTGAAAAACAGCCTACAGGACCTAAATAAATAACACGGAGAGAGTTGTGTTCACACTAAACCCAGAAGAGGAGACCTCAGGGAAACTGATGATACCCTCGTACATTTAGAAAAAATGATCTTTATATGTAAGTTATATGTCAACAGAAGCGATCTTATGATGCTATCACAAAGTTTTGTTAGAAAAATGACACCAAAAGAGAAACCTGATTTGGCTTTATACTATTCAAGTAATCTAGGAATTTGTGTACAACTGCAGTTAGTGCCTAAATCATTAGAATTTTTTAATGTCATTTTCAAAGTGAGAACCTAATTCTACTTTTTCTTCAGACAATTTACTATGAATTTGGATAAGCTGCATGAATAAAGCTTATAAAGGAACACGTATTTCCTTTATGATGGAAACATATAATGTGTATTTCTCACAATTTGTATTTTTACCTGTAAGAGTTTCAAATATTCCTGTTAGAAATACCTAAGGTAAAGCCTTAAGGCTTCAGCTGAACTAAGTTTTAGTGAGATCCAGAAGCTTAGCGACATACTGGATGCAAAAGATACGCCCAACCAACTGTGACAAGGCACCTGGAGACACAGCACAGGACACCTGGCAGGGCAACATACCTTGTAGATCAACTGAGAATAGTAGTCCGAAACCCCTTCAAGGGTAGCACTGCCAAAAGTTCCTAGAAGTCGATTCCCACTATTAAATTGGCCACTGCCATAAGGAAGAAAGTGCGCAAAGTTCACTCCAATGATTGGTTCCATTAGAGGGAGCAGAGAGAGCTGCTATTAAAAAACACATTTAAAAGTAATGTACATGATAAACAAAACTGAGTGTCTCTCAACTTCCTAAGACCTGAAGCAACTTAAACAAGAGGTGAGAAAAACAAGGCTTAAAAATTTCATGTATTACAATGCTGGAGAGAGACAAACTACGAAATCGCTGGAGCTGTGCTTCCCAGGAAGTTTCACTGCCATCTGGACTGAAGGGAGGCACGAGGCATCTCCCAAGAAAACCAGACTCCTCTTGGCTTGGGAAGAACAAGGCATGTGATAATGAGAGCAGGCATCACCGACTGATGGCACTTAGGGGCTCTCTCCCTCTTCAGTAACAATACAAGGGTGCAAGAACAGAGTAGATGGAGATGACCCCGTGGCTTCATTTCTTTGGATCCTGAGTCACAAGATCAAGATATGAGGACAGTCTGTCCTGGTACAGAGGCTGCCCCTTTTTTACTTCAGTAAATCTTGACCATTACCTACCAATTCATTCACAGTACTGTAAAGTTCAGGTGTCAATAGGATAAGGTGCAATTTTGCTGAGAAATAGGAAGTCTGTTAGGTTCCTTGTCCAGATGTCCTATGATCCCCTAACTTTCTAATCAAGAAATTATGACAACCAAGAGAAAGTTTCAGTATCACATGACAGAAGAAGCATGTGCTCTTACTTCCTGTAGATTCCAAAGGGCTACTCTAAAAGACTTACCTGTTTCAGGTGGGTGAAGGAGTCAGAGTTTGGATACAGCAGCTGTTTCTCTTCTTCATCCTTTTTCCTTTTCTTTGAGCGAGGTGCTGCTTTCTCCCCCGTTCTTTGAGTCCGTTTGTTTCGCTGTTTCTTGGTTTCACTTCCTCCATCCATTTTTGGCTGGTTGCTGCCACATCCAAAACCACCTTGTATTTGAACCCCCAAAGTTTGCTAATATAATTGGAAAGATGAAGAAACAAATGAACTATCTACATGCTTGATTTTTAGTTCGTGCTAGAGCAGTCCTTCCTATGACTCATATTCTAACAAGGTACCAAAGATAAGATATATAGCAAAACATTCTTAATTGTCTTTTGAAAATACTTGTTTCCCTTTTCAGGCATGATTTTCAATATAGAAACCAACCTGGTACAGGGAAAGAGTAAGACTTCTAAGGATGAATTTCAACCATGAACCACCACACTGTGACCCTGGTGCCTAGAGGCCCTGGTCCCAGCCCCTGCACAGCGGAGGAGGGCTATCTCTAGCCAGGGCTGTATCTGCTACATGGCTTTGGTAGTCTATTTTTGGTTCTCTACAAGAGCAAGAAGTGGTGAGATAGGACTGCCAAGTCAATTCATAGCTGCAGGAACACCTCAGCCTGTGCATCTGAGGTGAGACAACAGCCAATCCCAGAAACCAATAAAAAGAAGTCACATGGGTCCCTCAAATTAGCTCACAATCTCACATCTGACTTTAAGATATCCATGCACTTCAAGTCAATGGGAGAGGAGTAGATGACAAAAGATAAATCTTTTTCTTTTACTCCTGTCTTTATGGTCAAGAAGTGACAGTAAGCCAGGCCCTGGAAAGATTTTAAAGGGTAGTACGATCAATACTAAAAATATAACAGTGGGCCTGTGAGACAGCTCATCACACTAAGCACCTGCTTAGGCAAGCACAGAGACTGGGGTTCAATCCCTGGCACCACAGGCAGCGTTGGCCCCACCCACAGGCTGAGTCAGCCACCAAGACCCATCATAGTGGCGCATGCTAGGGAGGCTGAAAACAGGTGGATCACTATGAGTCTAGGCCGTATAGTGAGACCCTGTACCAAATACACCATAAACTAATTAGTTACAAGAATATTTTTCAGACTCCATTATTTCTAAAGTTGTTATCAATGTTTTGTTAGAGACCATCATAACTTCTAAATCTACCATGTAATCAATTCTACACTGAATCACGGGGATCTTTTTGAAAATTATAGCTTCTAGTTGCATTCTAAATAACTCAAGAGTATGAATGGCAAAAACTGGATTTTAAAGGCAAAGACAGTAAAGCATCTAGCCTTGAGCCAACTAACCTTGTACTATAAAAGTAGCCAATTTCTAAATGACCTAGGCTGCACTGGAATAAAATTTACAATTCATCAACAAATTTCAATTTTTTATAATTTTCACTGCTACAAGGTATTACTCTTGTTTAAATAGTTTTTTCAACCAGTAAAAAAATATAAGAAAACTTCTTAGCTTATACAAAGAAGGAAGAGGGAGACAGCCTTTGGCTTGCTTTTCCAAGGGCAGGCCCCACAGTAGCTGTGCCCAGGGACTAGTCAGAAATGGGAATTCTCTGAGCCCACCCTAGACTCACTGAACGGAGTGGGGATGAGCCCCAGACAAAGCTGGATCCAGCCCAGCAGGGGAACACACACAGTTCTGCATGTGTACCCCCAACTTCTCGTGCATACAAATCACCTGGGGTCTGGCTACGCCACACATTCTGATCCTGATCCAGCAAGTCTCTAGGAGCTCTAGGTCCTGCATTCCTTAAAACCCTCCCATGAGGCTACCAGCCTCCAAGACTGCACTTTGAATAGAAGGGTCTAAGAACTTCTTAATTGGTTTATAGAGATAATGAGGCAGCTGTATATGAAATAGTATAGGTCAGGGGCTTTAAATGCTTACAAACATTCTCTTTACTTCTCACCAGCATCCTAAGAGGCATAAGTAATTACATTTTAAAAAGTACTTTATCATGGAAGAACAGAAAAGATTAAAACTCTGCCATAGACAAAAAAAACCCCTAAGGGGGCTGGGGAGATGGCTCAGTAGAATAAGTGCTTCTCTGGCAAGTGCAAGGGCCTGAGTTCAATCCCCGGTTCCACAAAAAAAAAA